ATATCCCAAACGCTCGGTACCCGCCCTCGTCGTCTTCGATCGGGCCCCCTTGGGGGTATATCTTCCTTACCTGCCACGTGCATTTAGTGCAACCACTAAAACAAGGGAAGAGAGGACGGGTAGAAGGGGGAGGGAGAAGAATGGAGCACGAGAGAAACTAGCACGAGGGGGGCAAGGAGCAGAAAACGAGTGGTAGAACCAGACGGGCAGATCGGGTGGACAGACCCATAACGGGCACGTCGGGAAGGCGGCCCAGGCGACCAAGTCGAGCAGGCGGGTTGCTGAAGTGTGGGTCCTTCATGAATCGCGAGAAAATCTCGAGCGATATCGCGATTCCCCAGTAACTCGTGAGAAAAGCCAAAGCGAGAGCGTGATTCCTGAGCGCCGAGGGCGCATCGTCTGAATAAGCTGAAAAACAATCCCACGCGAAAGCGCGATGTGTACATGAATTGTGAGAAAGTCCCGCGCGAGAGCGCGATTCGGGAATTAATTGTAAGGGAAAATCGAGCGGGAGCCGTTGTTGTTGTTGTAAACGAGGGGCAAGGGGTCCAGATGGAGCCCCGTGACTTTCTCTGATAAAAACCAAGGTGCGAGCCCCGGGGGAAGCATCTGAATTGAAAAACACAATGGTCACCAGAGGGGGCATCAACAATAATTATTCTTCAGTAATGAGGGTTCAACAACAACAATGAGTTTAAGACTGATTACTCTTATCACGTCTGTCCCAAACCCTCGATACCCGCCCTCTTCGTCTTCAATTGTAGCCCCTGAGGGGTATATCTTTCTTACATGCAGCGTGTATTTTGCGCAGCCCCGAAGGCAGGGGAAGAGAGGACGGATGGAAGGAAGGAACAAGGGGCAGGCGGGATGCTGAAGCGTGCGTCCTGCATGAATCGCCAGGAAACCTCGAGCGATAGCGCGATTCCCCCACACATCGTGAGGAAATCGACAGCGAGAGCGTGATTCCTGAGTGTCGAGGGCGCAACGTCAGAATAAAATGCGAGGAAGTCCCACGGGAGAGCGCGGAGGAATTCCCGCGCGAGAGCGCGATTTGGGAATCAAGTGTGAGGAAGTATCAGGTGGGAGGCGTTGTTGTTGTAGTTCGTGGGCCAGGGGCACAGTTTGGTGGCACGCCACATCCCCTTGTAAAAAGCTGGGCGCGAGCCCTGGGAGAAGCACTTTTCATGAAAAGTAGAAGAACCGGACAAGGGAGATCAACACAAATTGTTCTTTAGAAATGAGAACTTAACAACAACCACAACAACAACAACAACAACAACAACAACAACAGCAGCAACAACAGCAACAACAATGACAACAATAACAACAACAACAAGAACAACAACAACAGCAACAACAACAACAACAACAACAACAACCACAACCACAACCACAACCACAACCACAACCACAACCACAACAACCGCAACAGCAACAGCAACAGCAACAGCAACAACAGCCTCAACAACAAAATCAAAAACAAAAATAAAACTAAAAAACACAACAACAACAAAACAACAGTCACAACCACAATCACAACAACAGCAACAGCTACAACAACAACAATAACAACAACAGCATCATGACAATCATCACCACCATCGCCACCATTGTCATTGCCGTCATCACCCGCATCCGAATTCCCTCCTCCAACTCCTCCTTCCCCTCCTCCTCCTCCTCCTCATCATCATCATCATCCTTCTCCCCATCCTCCCCCTCCTCATCATCCTCCTTCTCCTCCTCCTCTTCCTCTACCCCCCTCCTTGGGCCACATCCACCCCCTTCTCATCACACTGCTACCTATGTTCTCAGACGGGGTCTCAAGTTCACGATGCCACAAGTCTTGGTCGTGACAGCACACCAGCTAGCAGAGGCTACCTTATATCTTGCCCGACCCCGTGCGGGCATGCTGGGTGGTGAGAGGCTGGGAACGCCCTTGCATGTTGGCATGCCGCCTCACAATGTACTGCATCCCATTGGTATTTCCACCGAGTCAGGGACGGGGCGTACCAAACAAATATAACACCACGGCATTGTACGGTGCTTGGAGCCAGGCAGGTAGTGTGAAAATGTGTTATCGTCCTCCTCATCCAGCTCATCTTCCTCCACCCCCTCCTCCTCCTCCTCATCCTACAAATTCTCCTCTTGCTCTTCCTCATCGTCATCATCATACGCCCTCCTACTGCTCCTCCCTTGCGCCTCCTCCTCCTCATCAGCCTCCTCCTCCTCATCATCCTCCTCCATCCTCCAGCCTCCACAATCCTCCATCCTATATTCTCCATCCTCCATCCTCCGTCATGATCCATCCATCCTCATACTCATCTCCCCCTCTCTACTCATCATCCTCCACCCCTTCCTCCTGCTTCACCTCTTCGCCTCCTCCGCCCCCTCCTCATTCTCCTCTTCCTCATCCTCCCCCTCCTTCTCCTCCCCCTCCTTCATCAGCATCCCCCTCCTCCTCCAACACCTCCTCATCCTCCTCCTCCTCCTCCTCTCTTCC